CACCAAAATATTTTTTATAAACGTTAAATTAAGCAAAATCAAGTTAATTTTTTCGTAGTTAGAAATTCATAAAAGTAGTTTTTGCTTTAATACCTTAGATTTGATAATTTAATATAAGGTGTATTATTAGTTTTGCAACCTTTAAATAAAAAAAAAAAAAAAATTCTACCAATAAGCTAAATCAATTTTTTATGAGCATTTCTAAATCAATGTTTACGACATTTGATGTTCTCCAGTAAAAAAAATTAATTTTCTTTAAAAATAAATAAATAAAAGATACTGGAATTTTTCATAAAATGTTTGTATTTTCGTTGTATGGTAAAATTTTTAATTTTTTTTCAGTTTTTTTTTTCATAAATTTAAATAAAAAATTATTTGAAAATTTAATATAAGATCTTAAAAAATATATTTTTGTATCCGTATAAAAATATTAAAAATATGCATGTATAAGTTTTTTAATATATGTTAGAATTTTGACGATTTTCTCTAAAATAGTAAAAAAATTGAAATTTTTTTTTTATGGATTGCAGTAAAACAATCTCCCAGTTTCAGCTTGGCATATACAGTAATTCATTGTTATAGAATGGTGAGAATTGAGTCTATTTATGTGGGAGGACGGGAATCTTATATCCATAATAATTATTTCCAGTTTTAGACTTTTAATTATAAACATGTCGTGGAAAAAACAGAAACGCACGTTTGCTGTGGAAACCTATTTTCGTAAAAACGAGTGTGTAGCCGTTGTTTAACAAACGTCCCGTACTTACTTTAAAATGCCACCTTGCTAAACAGTCCTAGATAGAAAATTAATTGTATTGTGGACAAAAAATGTAGAAAAACAGGATCAGTTACAAGAAATAGAGGCAAACTACCTCGAACTGCTCGAATAGCTTAAACCATCGATGCAGTCAAACGTTCATTTTTTAAATTACCAAAACGTTTCATTCGAAAACATTCAGCTAAATTTCGGTTCTTTAATCGCTCTGTAAGGCGAACTCTGCATAAAGATCTCCTTTTTCACACGTATAAAATGATAGTAGTTCAAGAGTTGTTAGAAAATAACTGGCGTAGTTGAGTTGTGGCGGCATTTCGAAAAATTGATTGAAACATTACCTACCGCTATTTTTTTTTTTTTAGTGATGAGACTCATATTCACCTTTTTGGCTGTATAAATAAATAAAATGTTTGATATTGGAGTGATAAAAACCCACAGGAAATACACCAGAGGTCTCTGCATAGTGACCGTTTCACAGAGTGGTGTGCAGTTTCACGAATAAAGATTATTAGATATTACTTTTTTGATAAAGAAAATCGAGCAATTACCATTAATTCTAAGCGGTATGTAACCTACTACAGAATTTTTTTGTGCCAGATCTTAAAGAGCTTAAAGAAATCGATGTACAAAATATTTGGTTTTAACAAAATGAGGCCAATAAACACGGCATGAGCCGTCAATAAAATATTGAGGGAAATGTAGTTAAAATTCACAAAATTTTTTTTTTTCATATTAAAGTTTAAAAATTATATAAAGATTCTTCAATTATTTTTATAAATATATAACGTTTAAAATTTGAACAAAATTTAGTAATTTAAATTAGTATTTAAACGATTTGTTAATTATTTTGTTATTATTTAAAAATATTATTCCCAGGAACTTAAATTTTTAGATATTTTATATAATTATGAATTTTACTATACGCAATACAATTTTAGATTCATTTTAAAATATTATTTATTCATAGATACTTTAAATTTATTTTTATTTTTTAATAGTATTTACAGAAAAATGTTATTATATTTTGAGTTATGTAAGTTTTTATAATTTAGTAAAAATATAGCACATTATTATAAAAATTTAATATTTATGATTTATTAAATGCAATATATTCGGAAAATTATATCATTTTACAGTAGTACTATGAAAGTAAAATACTAAATACAAAGTAAAATAAATGGCTTTAGTATCTAAGTATATCAAAAAACATATTACTTGATGATATAGGTATGTTGATAAACTATGTTTCCGTTCAAATAATTTTTTGTAAAAAATGATTTAACATTGAATTCAAATTGAACACACTTATAATAATCATTCATTAAAAATTTCATATAATAAAACGATATCCACCTACCTATCTTTAAAAGTAGAAAAAGTAAATTTTATGACGAATTACAATAAACGAATATCTAAAAACTTTTTATTACAATGTTAAGTAAGTTAATTTATATTAATGATAGTTTATAGCTGGTATTAAACATATAATAGTTAATGTAATATTATAATTTTCATTACATTCGTTATTTACATTCGATTATACTTAGAAAACTTACAGAAATTAATAATTCAATAATAGATGCATTATTTAATTTACATATTTTAATGTAACATCTGATATTATACCTGCAGAATATAACAAAAGATATCATAATATACATGAAAGTTATTGAATAAAAACTAATGGATTTTTAAATTTTAAACATTTTTAAAGCTTAATTATTTATCCTTAAATAATTATTTTTAAAAATAAATTAATGCTTATACTTTAAATTTTTAACATTTTTTCGCTTAGCTATTATTTTTTAAATACAATTAAATAAATCAATTATACACAATGTTTATCGAAGTCTATATTACCATTTCGGTTTTAAATTAATAAAAATAAATATATACTTTTGATGCATAAATTATCTTTATTGGAATAGAGAATAATGGTTATTCATATTTATTAATATTTATAGTTTATAAAGTTTAAAAACTAATCATAATATAATTCATATTTTCTCAACCCACAAGATGTCTATATAGAATATAAGATTACAAAAGAAAAGTTATTTGATATTATACTAAAAATAAAACCTGCATTTCAAATCAATAGCATAAAAAATAGATTAACTCGTTTCAAAAAAAAACATTGGTCAACGAGGACTATGACTCAGTTGGTTCAGAATCATAATCTAGACAATTCAGTAATTAAAAAAAAAATAATAATAAATAAATAATCTTCAATGAAAAGTAATATTAAATACAAATTTTTCTAAGATCATACTTCTACAGAACAATAAAAAATAAAAATAAGAAAAAAACATCAATTGCCCAATATTTATTGATATCAGAGATGAATTTCAATTTCCAACAACCTGTACGAAGTATTAGGACCATATACTGACGCAAAACTAATAATTACCTTTAAAAAGAAAAATTGAAATTTGTAACTTAATTTAATTTTAGTCTAATGTAAATACTTCTATATGTACATAATTAACTAAAACCATACAATCTAAGCTAATAACATTGTAGTTGATGTTGAAATAATAAAAAAAAAATTTATTTATTTTCACCTTTTTGATTTATTTTGAATGTAGTACGATGAATATCTTAAAATTATTCTAAAATAATAATTTGCTTATAAGGCCAAAGTAACGTAGTTTTATATTTCCCAAGAAAATACATAGTTTTATTATATTATTTATTAAATTGATACTGTTTTATACACTTAAAGAAAAATAACGCCTTTTAGATTTAATTTAAAAAAAAAAAATAAAAAAAAAACGAGAGTACAAAATATTGGGATAATATGTAAAAGTCCATAATACGAGATATACATCCACACAAGAAAATTAAAAGTGCGTAAATTAAATATATTGAAATATATTAGGATTATTCCAAGTTGTATTTAAGTCAAATAACATTATTAAAATGAACAGTAATAAGAAAGTGAGATAAAAGTAATTTATTTGTATTGTTAAAAGATAAACTACTTTTTTCTGAAACTTTTTTTAGAAATGTAACTTCAAACCATTCGTATCTTTAAGCTGACTATTAAGTATTTAATTCGCTCAAGTAAAATTATTTATTTGGTAATAAATACTTCAGGTGGCTAATTTAGCAACATATCAATTATGTACTATTATGGTATTAGATTATGTATGAGTTATGTATAAATTGTATAGTTATTTTATATAATATTATTTACATATATTAAAAACATTTGTTTCACTTATAAAAATAACTTAACATTTTTTATATTAATAAACAAATATTAGATTAATTAAAAAAGTGTTTATGATTTATTTTTATTAAATTAAATAACTTTATCAAAAGTTTATATATAAACATAAATGCTGTGAACTATTTTATATTGAATTAAATTTATAATTTTCAACTAAAAATGTTTGTTGAATATATTGAAATATCTATCCTTTAATTCAATAGTAATATATATATAAATAATTTACTTGCAACTTTTAAAGCTTATTGATAAGATTTCGATAAAAGTAAGCTTTCTTTAATTTAATCAATTTTAGTGTATAGTCATTAAAAATATGTATAAGAAACTAATGTGATCAAATCAAAATCTAAACATTATTTAATACTTTATTTTAATTAGATTAAAAATCTAAATTTTATTAAAATAACGTATGATAAAATATATACATTTATTCATTAAATATATAGAATATAAATCAGTGAATATAGTTATAATTAAAAAAAAACAATATCTGATAGTTTGAGAAAATGTGATAGTTAAATGGCAGTTTTATTAAAAATTAATGTGTTGTTTGTAGTATATCGAACATATTTTGTTTATAAAATAATATATTCTATTAATTTTGCTTTCATGTATATTATATGTATAGAAACAATTATGAATGGGTATAATAACTATTTAAAATAAAACAAGAGTTAAATTATTTTTTATCTATGTTTCATTATTAAAAAAATAACAAGAAAATAATGAAACTGAAAAAAAATATTGGACAATATTAGTATATTATTTGTTACAGTGTAAAAAATACAAATATTGCTATGTATAAAAAAATAAAAACTGACAAATACAAGTATATACAATTATGGTTATATAAATTTAGATTTTTAATAATTTATGTAGAATTAAAAGAACAAAAGAACAAAATAATTAATTAAAAATAAGATCACTAGATATTTAATTTATGATTTGACATATTTTTATAATCCTAAAACGATAAACGTGTTAACTTACGTTTTATGTGCGTTTTTCAGTCATCGGCACCGAAAATCTTCGCACCTGTTTGCACGCGACATTCAACGCAGACTGGAACAGTCTTAACACGGGTGGCGCATCGATAGACGCACTCCCTCTGTGTCGTGTGCGCCCTCGGATGCAACTAACGCACTTCAGTGGTCCCGCGCTCAGTGTGTTGTATGACGTTCTGACCCTGACCGTATCACAATTGACCTGCTGTTGGTTTTAAAAAAAAAAACATTGACGACCCTAGTTTTGCGGATCACACTTTATAAGTATTCCAACCTTAGATAGATATAAAATTGGGTTATAACTTAATATAATTCACTTGTTAATTGTTATTAATTATTACGATTACTAATTGCTAATAAAATAATGATCAGTAATGTATAATTAATTAAAAATCTAAAATATATGTTTTTCTTATAAATTTATTTTCTAGTTTTCTTTACTCCGTTGAAATATTTGGTATAAAAAATAATAAATCCTCAATAATAAAGTATAAATCATTTAAGCCTAATTGATATTAAAATTTTGATTTGTAATATTTTGTTTTGTTTTATGTTCTATTAGACAAGAAAAACAAATAACAGTTATTATGATGAAGTGTGAACATTTTAGATATTATGATTTATAAATCATACTTATAAGTTGGGATTTTAATAAAGTTTTGTTTAAAACCTTTAAATCCTAATAAAAGTTGTAATTAAATTCAATGCAATTTTTCAAAGTACAAATTTCAGTATTTCCGGTAATTATTGATATATAAATACACAATTTAGTATATTTTTAAATAAGGTATGTTGTAAATGTGTACATTGTATATTCCAAAGAAATATTTATTTTAATTTTTACTTAAATTTGGAAAAAACAAATTTTGTTATTATAATAAATAAGATTATTTATATCTAAATTCATAGAATACATATGAATAACGTTTTAAAAAACTATTTGAATATAGTTGGTACCATTTGAAACTATAGACGATAAAAAACAATCAAAAATTTATCTTAGTAACAAGAATACTAGGTTACTATAAGTATGTTAATGGATGCCACTATCATAACAAAAAAATAAAACCATGTATCTTTTGTTCTTAAGTGTCGTATAAAACATAATATGCCCTCCTTTTCTAATTAAAAGACCTGGATTTACTCTGGTCGTATATCCATTTCAATATTTAACTGAATTTTTTTTTTAAATTTTTATTTTGGATCGAAATCTTTTACAACTATTTTATTTTATCTTTTAAAAGATAATGGGTCTAACTGAACATGTTTGTTTGAGGTTCTAAGATGTCACTTAAAAATATAAATTTAAAAAAATAAATTAATCAATTGATAAAATAATAATTACAATAAATTTTTCTTATACAACCAAAAAATTAATATAATTGAATATATATATTTTATTATTAGTCTATAATGTAATATTACAAATAAAATCTTTAAATAAAAGATATACTCTAAAGCAATACAACTATTAATAATTACTAAAATGATCATTCGTTATGGTAATTTAGTAATGCTGTAAACTTGTTAACTACGTATATTTTGTTTTTATAATAACCTAAGTGTAATTTTATTTTTAAAAACTTTTATTGAAATCCTAGGTTTAATTTCTAATGGTAGATTATTGTAAATATTTGGACTAATATAAAATTATGTAGATCGTGTTAATTTTTTGGTGCATAATTAGTACTTTGATATTAAATAATTGTCTAGTATTATTTCCTAGTTCAATTTTGAAAATAAGATTATTTTCAATTGCATTTATAACCGAAACTTTATGAAATCATTTTTTTTTCTGGTAGTTACTTCATATCATTCTATAAGCCTTTTGCGTAGTATTTTGAGTCTACTTTTAGAATAATATTTTGTATTTTTTTACTGGGTCTATAGTTGTATTATACGTACTTCTTTAAATATAAATACTGTAATTAACTATAAATTCTAATAGTGATTGATACACACTTCTAATTTTCTTAAGCCTAAAGATGTATTTAATTTTTGAAAGCTATAGTACGTCTTTAAGCTTATAACATAATATTCTATATATTTTTTTTCAAAGGCCTATTTATTATTTTTACTGATTATTAATATTATACTTATAAATGTAACTTATAGCGACTTGATAATTTCAAAAAAATATTTAAATTAATATCTTCTAGACTTAGTATAGATTACAAAATACTCGTATTTTGGATTTTTTTATATTATTTATGAATACAATATGATACTTTCAATGTTTTTTATTTTATTTGAATTTATGATGATATAATTTTGGTTTGCAAGTCAAAAACTATGAAAATGTTATATAGTTATAAGCTGCTCTTATTGGAAATAAAAAGTTCAGGGTTAGATAGTTTGAAGTTAAAATGTCTACAAAATCGATTATTCAAACCGTACTTATTTATAGTATTGTTTTATACGTTATTAACATACATATATTTCATATTTAACATTATAGTATTTATCATAAATAATATCATTAATATAGTAAGAATTTTGGCAAAAATTAGTTTAAAATGCTCAATTGATATATATATTAGGTAAAAAAATTATTGATATTTATATTAATAAGTTTTTAATACCTTTAGAAATAAAGATTGACACATAGTTTCCGCTGTGGACGATTTTTCGTACGCAATAATATATTATTGAATTCCTATTATTAAACACGTCCATTATATTGACCTACTTAATAGACAAGTTTTATTCAAAAACGACCAAACCAAGAAAATGGCTATTATTTTTGTGCTGTTTAATACCCATTGAGCTAAGACAACACCGCAGCCAAAACGTATACTTCAATAGCTATAATTCAAAGCATTAAATAACTTATTAATAACCTATTTAATAAACAAGTATAAGTTACTGTTTTTTGAGACATATAATTTTATTACTGTTTTTATTTATTTTTATTTCAATAGAAAATATTTTCATATAAATCGAATGTCAAACGAATATACTAATTAAAATAAAAGTTTATATTACACAAATGTATTATTATGAATGTGATACTTGAGATAAAAAATTCTGCACTTTTCCACAGACTTTTAAAACTTTTTTTTTCAATTCAAATGTTTGATCCCACGCATTTTTTATATACATACTGAAATTTTGTTTTGCGAATGAAATAAAAAAGTAAATTCATTACTTAAAAATTTAAAATAAAATGTTATTATTTTTCAATGTTTTTAATTTTATTAAACTTTATTCATAAGAATAAATATTTTATAATATAGAATAATAATTTGTTTTCCTGAACATTATTTATATATATGTGAGTACTTTTGAAATATTTTGATAAAATAAACAAATAACTATAAAATAAAAACAATTTAAATTATTATGAATATCGTTAACAACTATTTTTTTAAATAAATTATTTTTGAAAGTTATTTATTTTTTTATCACTATATATCGATGGTCGTATAAATACTTATTTGTTTGTATATTTATCGTAATGAAACTCACGGAAAGTACATAGAGATACACGTTAAATTGTTTTTTCGCTTTCCTTATTTTACCCTAGATTTAAATTATTAGTTTAGATTTAAATTCAATAAAAATAATCATTATACTTAGAAAAATACAACAGTTTTCTAGTTATTTATGGATCATAAAAAACTCTTTGTTTGTGAATAAAATGTATATTGTATACATTTACAAATAATAAACTAAAATAAATAATATCATTGTCAAAATAATCAGAAAAACTATTTTATACACATTGTTATTTACTACACAATAACAAAACTATTTTAAATGTTTTGTAACTGACTAAAAACTAAAAAAAAGTTTCATAGTATACGCATATGTATTTATCAGCCATATTCAATTTATAGAAAATAGTTGCATTTATTATTACTTGTTAATAACTAAAAATATTATAGATGAAAAATGAAAAAAAATTATTTTTAAAAATTAAATTAATTTATACCCCGAAAGACAAAAAATATAAAATTTTATATTACATATTTTGTAAGCATCAAATCTGCTGAAATTAATTTATGTTAGAAAAAGATTTATATAGAGTAGGATTTTTATTCATTTTAGTTAAACTTCAATGAATACCATTGTAATATAAAGGAATAAAGCTAGTAAAATGTTTGGAATTTAACATTGTCATGACTTACTTATGTAAGAATACTATTACGCTGTCTTTAATGTTTAATATTATTTATAATTTATTCAAACAATAATTGTGATCATTTTAATAAAATTTTGTCTCACGTTGCTGAATTCAAAAAAAATATTTAAAGCGTAAATTGTAGAAGTCTAAAGAAAAAAATTCAACCACATTTAGAATGCTGGAAATTTCGAGAAATTACTGTATTGATCTGAAATATTTAATAATATATAATATAAAACAACAAAGCAATCATTAGTCTAGTGATTGTTTCACTGTTAAGATATTCAAAATTCATTATAACAGATAGGGTCGGTTCGTCGTGTATGATGAATTATAAACAATATTTGTATAATAATGAATCGTAATGATAATATACTGATACTGTTACATAAAATAAACATAATATTAATATGATAACAACTTCTAAATTATAGCAATGACCGCAAATAATAAGAAAATTCTAAAGCATAATTTAAATTTAATTGATATAAATTCAATATGATTAAAAATGTAATGGAAAAATAAATTAGGAAAGAAAATTAGTATGGTTTCTGATCACTTTGGTTGACAAAAAATTAAATAGAAATCACCATTGGAGTATAAAAACAAAACTTTATAATGTGCTGAAAAATATATTGTTTTCATAGATAAAAAATTATTAAAATTTGCTTGGAAGATTGATAACATATTTTATGATACTTCACCATTAAAATATAAACAATAAATTTATTAATTATCTAATATAAAGAATAATAATAGTCATTTGATGTGAAAAATCCGAAAAAAATCCGAGTAAAAAATTATATGCGTTAGAAAGAAATATAATCTATTCTACTATGTAAAATTGTAAGGGGTTTTCTACGACTACGCTAACCAAGAAAACTACTGAATCAATTTGGCTGAAATTTTTTACTGTTATACCTAATAGTCTATTAAAAGTTTTATTACCACTATTGTTAATAAAAAAATAAAATAAATTTAGAAAA